GAGGAAGATCGGAAAAACCGGCCATTACGTGTAGCACTTCTGCTAGATTACCAAGGAACGCTGACAGAGAATGAGAAAACACGGATGACGGTTAACGGGTTGATAAAAAGACGCGTGTTTGAAGCGGTCGTCTTCGAGTTTATAATTTTTCATCGATGATTTAATTGTCATTAGCTTTTTCGATAGCTCTTTTTCAAAAGAGACGCTGACAAAGAATGAGACATCGATACTGACACGAATAAAAGTTTCAAGGATTGAAAGCATGGGTTGATAAAAAGACGTATATTTGAAGCGGTCGTCTTAGTTTATAATTTTTCATTGATAATTGCCATTAGCTTTTTCGATAGCTCCCTTTCAAAAAAGACGGAGAATGAGAAAACACGAACGACAGTTAACGCATGAAAGTTTCATGGATTGGAAGCATAGATTGATAAAAAGACGTATATTTGAAGCGATTGTCTTCGAGTTTATAATTTTTCATCGATAATTTAATTGTCATTAGCTTTTTCGATAGCTCTTTTTCAAAAGAGATGCTGACAGAGAATGAGACACTGACACTGACACGAATAAAAGTTTCATAGGTTGATAAAAAGATACGTGTTTGAAGCGGTCGTCTTCGAGTTTATAATTTTTCATCGATAATTGCCATTAGCTTTTTCGATAGGTCCCTTTCAAAAAAGACAGAGAATGAGAAAACACCAACGACAGTTAACGCATGAAAGTTTCATGGATTAGAAGCATAGATTGATAAAAAGACGTATATTTGAAGCGGTCGTCTTCGAGTTTATAATTTTTCATCGATAATTTAATTGCAATTAATTTTTTCGGTAGCTTCTTTTTAAAAAAGACGCTGACAGAGAATAAGAACTGACACCAACGAATAAAAGGGTTGGATGCAACGTTGATGAAAAGATGCATACTGTTTGTAAAGCGATCGTCGTCTTCGAATTTTAAATTTTTTATCGATAATTCGACAACTTTTTCGATACTTTCTTTTAAAAGGAAGCACGAACAACAGTTAACGCGCAAAAGTTTCACGAATTGGATGTAACGTTGATAAAAAGATGTATGCTCTTTGTAAAACGATCGTGTTCGAGTTTATAATTTCTTATCGACAATTTAATTGCCACTAGCTTTTTCGATAGCTCTGTTTCGAAAAAAACAAATTTTCAGACTCTCTCTACAATTATCGGTCCAGGGACGCCGTTGACAAAATTATATTAGGTATTACGCGAGGTATTATCAATTGTAACACGAGGTACGTACGATTGCAAATGCGATACGAGACAAATCCCAGGAGGTAAAATTCGCTACCATATATATCGACTATTGCTTCTATTCCCTTAATTGGAGTCTATTGATGTTATATGAAATTAATTTATACACTGACGTTTAGCTCGCAACCCGTCTAACCAACCGAACAGAATAACTAATGAACAAAGCAAATAGGCTCGGCAATACGTTCATCAAACACTTCCCTCGAATTGAATTTAATTTTCTATCCGATTCTGCGCGGGAAACGCAACGAAATTCACCACGTTCGTATGAATTTCTTAATATTTCAATTACTTCATTAATTACAACGGAATAAATCCGTTATATCGAACGAAATCGTCCATCTCCCCTTCTTTTTTCCGTGAAAAGTAATCGCCGAGATAACTCCTCGTTTCGAAAGACGAGAAGAAAAAGTTCGAAACAAAAATTGGCGAGTTTCAGGGGGGCTCCTCGTTGAGAGGAGCCCCTGCCAATAAATAAAAGTGGCGCGAGGATCGCGACAGCCCGATGGAAATAAAGACTTGGCGGGATTGATAGGATGAAGGACAAGCCAGCCTTTTTTATTTTTATTTCTACTCTTTCTTTTTTCCTTTTTTTTTCGACCGGACGCTGTGTCTAGGAGCTTGGAATTTGAATCATCGCCGCTCGACTTCCAACTCTTGACGTCCATCGCTTGTTCGGCCGCGCAACGCTCGCAATAAATCCAAACTAACTCTTTATCCCATCTCTGGAGAGAGGGAACGGGGAGGGGGGCTTTGTCGTTGGCCAGGCGTCGAAGCTCGGCCGCCGCCATTGTCGCCGGCTATATCGCGCGCGCCGAAAGAGAAAGAGGAAGGGGGTGGACGGAGGAGGGTGGCCGCCGCCGCCGCCGTCGGTGGACAGCTCTCGATGGAACTTGAATTAAATTTCGAGATTTATCGCGTCAATAACCGTGCATTAATTTACGATTTTTAACGCGGTGGAAACGTAAATTTCGTTCGTTTTGCCGATTGTTTCGTTTCGTCAAGTGGAGGTGGAGCGGACA